CACAAATACCGGCCGATTCCACAGATTCTCCATTACATAAGACATCGATCGGCCCTTTGCCTCAAAGTTATGTCAAACACATAACCGTTTGTGAGGAGACTTACGGCATAATAGGCGCTAATTATCCCGCATTAGAACTGATGGCTCTCTACACGGCGGCGGCAATGCATGACTTTGATCACCCCGGGAGGACCAATGCCTTTCTCGTTGCCACTTATGCTTCTCAGGTAATAATTATTTTTCAAGTCATTGTGTGCTAAATATAAACGATATTAACTTTTATTGAATATATTTTATATTGCATTTTAGGCCATTTTATATAACGATAGGTCGGTGCTGGAGAACCATCACGCGGCCGCCGCCTGGAGTCTCTTCCTATCAAAACCAGAATATAATTGGTTGAGACATCTCGATAGGGCTGAGTTCAAGCGATTCCGGTTTTTAGTCATTGAGTTCATTTTGGCAACTGATCTAAAAAGACATTTCGAAATTTTAGCCGAATTTAATGCCAAAGTAATAATATTTGAGTTGATAAATAAATAATTATTGATATTATATGATATGAATATATAATTTGTGATTTGATTTGATAGGTCAATGATGATGACTCTACTGGGATCGACTGGTTTTCAGAAACCGATAGACTTTTAGTTATGGAAATGACTATAAAGATAGCTGACATTAATGGTCCCCTAAAGATATTTGAAATCCATCAGCAATGGACGCATCGAATCGCTGAAGAGTTCTATGAACAGGGAGATGAAGAACAAAGACTTGGTCTTCCAATCTCTCCGTTTATGGACCGTAAAAATCCCCAATTGGCTAAACTTCAAGAATCGTTTATAAACCATTTGGTGGGACCCTTATGTAATGCATACGCAGAGGCAGGCCTTTTGCCCGGTGTTTGGGAATATCAGGACTCATCCGATTGCGAGGGCAGTGAAGATGGGATCAGAAATGAAGGCGAAATTAGCACCAAATCGGGTATTATTTTTCGACTAATAAGCCATTCATGGAATTGTTTTTCATTTATAGAAATATTTCTAGATTTAGACAAAAACTCGAGAAAAGTGAGTTGTCTTCAGACAACACATCTTCAAGAGAACTACGAGTTTTGGATCAATATTCTGAAAGAGAAGAAGAATTCACATTCACTACAATCTTCTCCTAACATAAGCAGTGATGACTCGAGTACTCCAGTCCTCACTCAACAAACTCTGGAAGAGATTATTGAAGCCGAAGAGAATCAAAGCCAAGGAAGCAGTTATAGTAATGGCGATAATAATCTAGTTTTTGAGAATATCACTCATATTAATGATTAAGTCCTTCACTTATACTGTATTATCAATTGAACCCCTTTCTAACTGTGATGTAATAAACGCTTTACACAATCGCTCCCGAAATCAATTATATTCTCATCATTTTGACCACAAATGAAAATATAACTTCAAATCATAACTCAATCATATAATAGTGAGAACCACTGTGTAATTGGCCAACAATTTTGAGCTTTAATTCCTTAGATTCCTTAAGTTTATGTCAATTCTCCAGAAATGACATAAAATTTAGTTTTGTGATAAAGTTATCCTATTATATTGTACATTACGGTATACATTTACATTTAACAGAATTTCAAACAATTTATTCAAATTTAAAAGCGTATTATTCATATTTATTATCCAATGTTATAAATCAAATCCATATTCTCTAATTCCAACATATAAACAATTTTATTTATATAAATATAATGTATCTAATATTAATGTAAATAAAGAATCAACTGTTAACTATTATAATATTTAAATAATTTGTATAATTTTATTGTAAAATCTTATGAATACAGTATAATATATTATGCTGCAATAAGCTTTGCTGCAATTATGCTGCAATAAGCTCTATATTTGCCCATTATTTGCTATTATGTGGCAAATGATATCACATCATACTTACAAGTTAACAGATTTATTGGCAAACAAGTTCAGTAGATAAGAAGTCATTATTAAAATAATTTCTGAAAACATTAAAATTTAAATCTAACGATTCAATCGTAAGTATAGATTCTTATATTTTATTCATGAATTATAATTTGTGTGAATTCATTAAAACTATAAAACAAGCATAAAATATTTAAATATAAATTTTCATGTTGATTATTATTAAAAATAGATTTTATAAGTACAGTATTACAATATAATTAAAATTTACAAATATTTAATCTATTTTTATTTCTGTAAGTACTACATACAATTATTTATATTTATGTCATTTTAAAAATATGAATTAATGAGAAATGTAATGGCGTAAAAATGTCAATCATAATACCTTATAAGGCAAAGGTCTTGTATCACAATATGTGATCAATAATTGGGCACAAAATAAGCCAATTATTAAAGTGATTAAGTTTTGACCACTACTATAGTAATACAATCAATATTACGGTTAGTTTAATCACATCATAATTGTTTGACTTATTTGCATGGAGTGGAAGAAATGGGAGAATAAGCACTGGAATCACATTCAAAACGGTGTGCCTTTTCTTTGACTACTCGATGAAACCAATTCTGTATAAAATCATATTCTAAACAACGATCAGAATCTATAATGTATTGTAGAGCGAGAGCCGCGTCTATGTCTTCGTTGCTTATCTTTGGCCTGTTTTGCAAATAAATTATATTTCAATAAACTATAAGTAAAACAATTCTCAATATTACTCAAACAGATGACTATTTGATATATGAATCAAAAGCAATCAGACAGAGAACATAATATGAATACAAGTCTATACAAACCCATTGACATAATAGTCAAACAGAAATGTGGGCGAAGACAGTGCGCTCACAAAACTGTCGTCCGAGTCATTGGAGTCCGAGTCATAATGGGTTTCCTCTGAGAATACGTTTTCATTTGTTTCGCATTTTAAGACACAATTTAATGTATCGTTTGATTCGTCTTTTATAGAGACTGAAGAGAATGAAGAGTTACTCGAATTAAGACTCAGTTTGTTTAAGTCATCACTTAATGCAAGCACACGATTGTCATTATCGCCGCTATGTTTCACTGTTTCTAAAGCCCTCATTGACTGACTGTCCAAATCCTACAACAAAACAATCAATTAATTAAATCAAACCAAACAAATACAGTGAATACAGACATAATAAATATGACGCAAATGTTTCTCCAATTGATTGAGTCCTTCATCAGAAGTTAAGTCAATGCGAGTGTTAAGAAACGGCCAAAATTCAGTCCAATTAATGTTCATATCTTTACACAGATTTCGCGCAACTCTTTCAATACCCTTTCGCGGATCAGTTAATCTTATTTTACGCTGAAATGGCGTACACTTTAGCGGACTTTTAAGAGTCTTAAACAGTTGTTGCGCCTGTTGTGGAGACATAGGGCCGGCCAATGCACTCATCCTATTGTCGCCCATCACTCCTTTGAATGGTTCTCCAATTTGTGCGCTGAAGTCGTCTCTGAATAACGGTATAAAGAGTTGCGATTCAAACATATTTAGGATCTCTTTTTTGGCGTTTTGATCGCCTTTTCGTTCACAAATCATATCAATTGGTTTTCGGCCCGATTTGTTCACTTTGTCTGAATCACACTTCGGATGTCTTAACAAAATAGACACGACTTGTGTTGAACCGAATTTGCAGCCAAAATGCAGAGGAGTTTCCCAACACTGGAGACACAAAAACAGATTTACGTTGAATTGAATGAAATGAACAAACAATGAGCTCAAGACTGACCACTTTTTCGGGAGTATTTACGTACAAATCCAATAAGAAGTCGATTCGACTGACGGTCACGTCGTTTGTGTCGAACGGAAACAATAGTTTCATAAACTTTTGGTCGGAAACCGTGTTTAGTATGAGTTGTAGGACTCGGTGTGCGTTCACTTTGGCTGCGATATGACAGGCGTTGTAACGACAGCTCTCCATCAGCACCGCCGGAGTGTCACCACTGCTCACCAAATACCTCGGGTTCAACCAAATCAGTCCATTCACCACATCGTAGTCGTCCGCTTCGATGGCTTTGCGAAGTCTCGACAGTTCTCGCGGATGTAATCCACTGAACGGACACAAAGACTTCTCGATATTCTTGTTGTCTTTACTCGTATCGCAACTCATCTCCGGTTTGACCACTTGTTGGGAGAAGAGGACGGCGTCCTCCTCAGTGCTGAATGCCTTAAATCGCGAGCCTTTGTGTGTCTTATTCGCGTCCAACACATCCTTCCTGTTGTCGAAAACGAGTTGAATGTCTGAAACGAATCGTTTGAAAGACGTTTCAAATGAGTCTTCAGATCACATGAAATGCAAACAAACCGTTGCTGTGATTGGCGTCCAATGGAAGCCTCAGTCCGTAGAAGACTTTGTCATCACAACTGGTGTTCTCTTTATTAGCCATCAATTGGAGACAAAAGAGTGAAAGACGTGAAGAAGTGGTGAAGAGATGAGTGAAAGACGTGCAGACATCCAGACAATCAGTGATAGACTTGAAGTGAAATGCATTCAAAAATCATAAACAAGAGTCCGAATGACGTCACGAGTGATCACGTGATGGCGTCGTAGGCCTCGTCGTGAGTCACGTGACGTGTGTTTGGCTTTCATTTTGGAATTGAATTGAGTTTTGGTTTCATTCGACAAACAAAGCACTGATTCGTCAGTCGATTCACTGCTCACTCGTCTCCTGAAGATTGTCTCCATCGGGAAGAAGTGGTCTCTTCTGTCCCAACACTTGCTCTCTCTGTCCACCCCTTCGCCACCACTTCACCCAAACCAGTGACACATCCGAAGACATAATCGTATTGTTTGTATTGATTGTCGAAATGGAAGCCATTTATTGAATCGCAAACAGAATGTCAATCAATCCGTCAATTGAAGAGCTCTTCGCTCCTAATTGTCTGTCAATTAGATCCGCATTTGATTCGCACGACACTCACCGCCAGACTCATGGATCGCAACCAATGGGCGCTGTCTTCTCAGCCGCAGTGCAACTCAAGTCAAGGCAGTCGTGGCACGCAATCACTGACTGATCCGTCACTCAGTGGTCGCCAATCAAATCGCTTCAATGGGAACCGTCGTCGCAATGAAGCCATTCATCGGAACGTCACTCAAAGCAAACAAAACAACAGCCAATCGGGCCGTCAGTCCAACTGGAGAGCGGGTCGTCCCAGAGGTTCCGGTTCTGTGGCCGATGTTGTCGACTGTGACCTGTCTTCCCATCACTTGAGCGCCGGCTCTGCAGACCTATTGAGTGACAAATTGGATAATAAGAAGATCTATGGCTCAAAGAAACACAATTTGAATCATTTGCTGAACTTTACGTTTGATGCCAGAGATGACACGTCGGGTGACCACAGAGTCCATCAGCGAAGAGGTAACCATCAGAGAGGCTATAATAAGGAGCACTTCCTTCAAGCGAACTGTCAGTTTGTGGTGAACGACCTCAACGACTACTCCATCCATACGTCAAATCCAGACACGAGTGTCGACTGGAATTCGGTCGAAGAGATCCGTTTCAAGACGGATGGAGAGACGTATTGTCCGATCTGTTTGGACAGTCCGGTGGCGCCTAAGATGACCCGTTGCGGACACATCTACTGCTGGTCGTGTGTCTTGCATTACCTGGCGCTGAGTGACCAGAAATGGCGCAAATGTCCCATTTGTTTCGATTGGATCCAAGCACAAGACCTCAGATCCGTCGAGTCTCACAATAAAACTGATTACAAAATCGCGGACTTTATTACACTGTGTCTCATGAAGCGCAAGAAGGGCTCAACCATTGCCACTCCGGCCCTACTCTACGATCATAACCACAACTCCTTTCACCAGAAGTTTCAACCACTGAATGGCGATCCAGTGATGAGTTCCTATCAGAAGATACTGATTGCGTCACCCAATCAGGTGTTGCGCCAAATCATTGAACGCGAGAAACAACAGCTCTTGAGTCAAATGACTGCAGACAAAGACACTCCTGAGGTGTGTTTCATTGAGAACGCTTTGGATGAGCTCAAGATCAGAGAGGATTTGCTCCTTAAGAGGTGCGACTTGAACGCGAGAAACAACAGCTCTTGAGTCAAATGACTGCAGACAAAGACACTCCTGAGGTGTGTTTCATTGAGAACGCTTTGGATGAGCTCAAGATCAGAGAGGATTTGCTCCTTAAGAGGTGTGACACCAATACTGGCGATGACTCTCCTCTCGATGGCAACAGTGGGGGTAATGTCGAGAAAGTGGACAACCATTCGGACGATGAGTTCTATTACTTCTATCAGTCAGAAGACGGACAACACATTTATTTGCATTCACTGAACGTTCGGATATTGAAACAGGAATTCGGTTCACTAGACAACTGTCCCAACAAAATAAGCGCTAAAATCGTTGAGACCGAGTGGGAGTCCATGTCCGACGAGTTGCGCAAACGATACCGATATCTGCAGCACTTGCCGCTCACCTGCGAGTTCCGTATCGTTGAACTCGAGTTCAATAACGAACTCATCTCTGAGCCAACGCTGAAGGGCTTTCACGACGAAGTCATTCACAGACAACGCGTCCGATCGAAGCGCGCGCGAGAGGAGCGCAGACGGGAGAGACATATTCAGGTCGAGCAGAATAAGCGCATTCATGGCATATACCCGCGCCCTAAGTATCGGTTGGATAATATGCAACAGTTCCCCAACTGCTTGCAAACACCCGACGCCATGCACTCCATGTCGGAATCGTCGACGAACGACGACTCGTCGCTCACCACTCCAGCCAATGATAACGCGTCGGCCAACTATGGCACGAGTCCTCCCGTCGAACCGGAATTCCCATCGTTTGCATCGATGCTTCGCGAAGGAAAGGCTAAACCAGTGGTCACTTCAAAGACCAATACAGTGATCGGCAATGAATTGGCGGCCAATGAGTCGGAGGATGAGTATCAGCGGCCGACGGCTTATAACTACTCGTTAAGCGATGCGTTTGCGGCTGCGCTCCAACTCAAGAGTTCTGGTCCTCAAACCGATGGCAACAAAAAGGGCTCAAAGAAGAAGAAGACTAAACCAAAGCTTTTGATGAGTACTGGAATGAATCGCATGTATTAGTGATCAACTGTTTGTCGTTTTACGGAATAATGGGTTAAATAATAAGATTTTATATTTTAATTGTTCTCTAATTCTAAATAAATATATAATTATTGCATCGTTTAAGTAGTCATACAAATAGCAAACAGATTTCAATAGAAACGCATCACTTATACTATGCTATCAGTTCTTCACTCGATTATCTATAATCACACCAAATGTTTGTTTTTATTTCTGACTAAATATTTATTACTTATAATTAATTCCTAAAATCTAAAACAACTATAATATTGTTTAAAATATAAAAAAAAGTTTAATTAATCGCTTACTCTCTCAACACTTTGTTTTAAATGTTCTTTCAATTTATGAGTTAATGTTTTGTTATTAATATTATTATCTCTTGATTTAAAATTATATTAAATAATTTGTTTGTCTTTTACTTATCAAACGATATCCTACTGTACAATATAAGTGGCGCTCATTATATGTTACATCAAATGACCCGAAAGTTCATTGAAATTTTGAATTATAGCCGTTGGAAGTGACCACTCGTTTTGTCAATGAATTCAAGTGATGGAAATTCTGTGACATATTCAATAAAATCAATCAATTATTTTGAATGCTTTGAACTCTAATTATTTCAAATCAATTCTCACCGAAACGATTGCAAAGAAAATTGCCAAATATATGGTGATAGCCAGAGACACGAATAGGTCGAAAATGGCCGGCTTTACACTAAACGGACAGTATTACAGTACTCGCGAGTTAGACATGGAAAGCATGTCTCAATCAATTGATAACTTACTTATAAATGTTGAGTTCGGCTTGTGTTGGCTCATAGAAGACCAGTTCATTGTCCTTATTGTCAACTCTAATGTGAATCAATTGCACGTCATTCACATATCGGCGCATAATCTGCTCTAAACTGCGGATTAATGGCGAGACCTCCACTTGGGATCCCTTCTGTGAGCTCAGGAGCAGCTGTTGAGCCCTTGACTGACGACTCAATTGGTATAACAAAGACTTAATGAATGCGTGAGAAATTCGCAAATCACTATCAAAGAGATTGGATTCAAAGTCTTTGTAGATTTGATGAGCAACTGCTTCAGAGATGAGGTTTATATTCAAATACAATGGATCGAGAAGTTTATCGTCAAACACGTCAGTCAATGATTTCCTTCGCAGCGATTTATGGGATGAAAGCGCCGACAAAGTGAAGGCCGACAGACGTCTTATACTAAACCGTTCCTAAAGTTCATTCAATAAAAGCCTTTGAGTGAGTGCTCAACAAAAGTGTAAAACAATGTCATACGTGTTCCCACGCGAGCGTCTCTTCCGCTAAATTGATTTTCTTGTGAATCATCGATACATTGAAGGGATGCGTCAAAGAAGTGGAAGCGATTCGCTTAAGATCTTCAAAGAGCTGTGCGGCCGGAGTTCCCTCTTTGGGCGGTTTCGAGACGTGCATATTTAGGCCACTATTGCCGTCTCTATCGGCCAATGAGTCGAGACATATAGTGAACAGTGAGTCCGAGAGAAGACTCGCTTCATTGCCATCCAAGTGCTCGTCGATCCACTTCTTAGTGCCGAAGTAATTGAATTTTCCGGCGCCTGACAGCAGAAACAGGAGATTCACTTTGGGCTGAGTCTTGGCATTCGAGTACAGCTTCGAAAACAAGCGAATCATCTCTAAGAGGGCTACCACTCCACTGCCATTAGAGTCGGCGCCGAATGACAGACCCTTTCGGACACCACATAAATCACACCAATTAGACACAAACTTGAATAACAGCTAATTTAGTAATAACTACCGGTGCCATACTAAAAGCGTCGTAATGGGCCACCACTGCTATTGTCGGCATTTGGTCCTCAACTCCGGCACCGATTAGTTTCGCCTGAAATACAGACACATATCACTCGTTAGTGTCCACCAAAGAGACCAAATGTTGACATTAATTACCTGAATGTTAGTAACGATAAGGTCTTTGACTGGAGAAGTCTGCGGTCCGGAGATAACCATTTGATAGCCATTAGTCATGACTGAATCATACAGTTTCCTGACGTTTGACTTTTCAATGTCTTCTTCTTCACTGGTCTCCGATCTCTTGGATTGCATTTCGTAGAGATTTAAGAGCTGTTTGGACTCATGGCTCACATAAATGGGAATTTGTATCTCTTTGCTGACCAAAGATTTCTCAAAAGTCAAAAAGGCGTCCATTTGTGGGCCATTGAGTGAGCGCATAGTCTTCGGCAATATGATGAGTATACCGGCCACTAATGTCTGGTCGATGATGGTGTGGAAAGTGTCCATTTTGTCCAACAACTCACTCAACCTCACGATCACACACTTCTTGGCGAAGCTCTCCTTAATCTGCGAAACAGAAATGGCCTCTAAATTCATGAGTGAATGTCTGGAACCGATTCGGTTGTTGTGGAGATCAAAGTGTTGGACGCGGTATACGTTCAACTGATTCAACGCCATCGCCGGTGACACGAGTATCACGATCGGCATCAACACCATCACCGCAAACAGTGGCAAAAAGTCAAACACATTCTGGGCCTCAGATATACTAATCATTGCGAACGACACTCAACTTCACCCACACTGAAGAGCACACAATTATGTCCATTCAAATGCACTGAAGATGTGAATGAAACGTGATTTTCAACACTAATGAACGCACGAGACATGAGTTGCTGTTTGTCTCCAAACCGTTCACACCATTCACTGCAAAGCAATCCATGCAAAGAGCGCTGCATTTGAATGACACAACACTTCGTACGGACAGGTATTGTATTTCTTACAAATAGATGTTTTATTTTTTAAAAATCTTTAGTCAAACAACAAATCAATTTTGTTATAATAAAAGCCCACAAAACTAATTATAATTAATTGAATTAGTTTTTTTGAGCACTACATTAAACTCGCATTCAATGCATGTGTGCTGAGTCTGAATGGCATTATAATGAGTGCTTTGACTGAATTTAACTATATTTACATAAATATATTAATTTATTTAAATGTCTTAAATATCAACAATTCTATTATGTATTGATAGCCCTCTCCTGACCCACTGTCGAGTCATTATTATCATAGGCGTCATGTATGGGGGCCGTGGAGGTCGAGGAGCGCACGTATTGGGGTTTAGCTTTGCCTAACACTACGTCTTCAGTGATGTGTACACTCGACACATCAGTTCCCGGGATATCAAACATCGGTTCCAAGAGAATTGTTTCCTAACGAAAACATAACTCATTATTTATGCCATAAAACAATCACAAGAATCACAACAAGACTTACAAGTATAGCGCGAAGACCTCTGGCGCCGGTCTTGCGTTCCATCGCCTGCTTAGCGATAGTCTTGAGGGCGTCGGCATGAAAGGTGAGCTCAACCTTATCCATACCAAACAACATCTGGTACTGAGGTATGAGTGCGTTCTGCGGCTCAGTCAGGATCTCAACCAACATATCTTCAGTGAGACTATGAAAGGGCACAACCACTGGGAAACGGCCCACAAATTCCGGAATCATTCCGAACTCAATCAGATCCCTGGCCTCAACCACTTTCAAGAGGGCGTCCTTTTCGGCCAAATCTTCGGCAGCGCTGTTGGAGCTGTAATTGTTGGCGACGTCTGCAGCCGAAGCGGCTCTCCTTCCGGGAGAGTGCGAAACGGGTGCTCCGAATCCCAAATACTTCTCGTTCTTACGTCGGCTAACAATTCGGTCCAAACCGTTGAAAGCACCCGACGCTACGAACAGGATGTTAGTCGTGTCCACAACCACTGTCTCGCCCCTCAGTTTGCGAGAGTTGCGTTCGGGAACGTTCACAACGGCGCCCTCCAACATCTTCAACATCCCCTGCTGTACACCCTCTCCGCCCACATCCCGGAGCTGATGAATGCCGGGCACTGCACCGATTTTGTCCACTTCGTCCAGGAATACGATGCCCTGTTGTGCTCTCTCCACGTTATAGTTGGCGTCTTGCAGTAGTTTGGCAATCACCGACTCAATGTCCTCTCCCACATACCCGGCCTGTGTCAGTGTCGTACAATCGCATATAGCGAACGGCACTTCCAAACATCGCGCTATTGTCTGCGCCAGTAATGTCTTTCCACTGCCTGTCGGTCCCAATAATAAGATGTTGGACTTCTCTAATCTCAACTCATGAGTCGTCGAATCCAAGACATCGTTCCCACGGTTTGAGTTGGGAATGGATTGTCCGCCTGTACTCGAGTCGGGAATGTCTGTCGATTGAAAGTTCTGTTGGTTCTGGAAGTTCCCGACACCCAATGCATTACTTGTGCCCAAACCTGTGATGTGTAGCAGATCTACACAACCAATACAAACACAGTGTTTATCTGTTCAATGCATTTGACACTCAATCCAATGCAAGGCATCCATACCCTTATGATTGAAGATTCCGGTCGAATGAGTCTCTACTATATTGGCGTCATTCGAGAGAACAGTGCGGCCAGAAGTAGAGCCGGTGCTGCCATTGGCCGGCATATTGTGATAAATCCTTTTATAGTGATTATAGACGGCAACGGAAAGCACTTTCTTGGCGTAGTTCTGTCCGACAACGTTCTTATCCAAGAACTCATAGATCTTTACAATTCATAGACATTTCAATTGAGACACACTTTTATATTACACATCAAATGTCATACTTTTTTAGGCGGCGGCGGAGGCTTTCTCTGGACATTGAGTTTCTCGTTATTAACATTTCGATTCTCTTTAATGGTTTTCTTGGAATCGATTTCAGATAAGACTACAAAGAAATGAAGACATTTCTCGCACTTCACGAAACGAGTTGAAGCTATGGTTCAAACATTGTGTCAATAAAAGCATTAATTGCTACGAAAGTGAATGAATCATACAAACGAAAGTCTCGACATGAGTGCAGGGATTCCCACATTTGGGACAACACAACTGGCCGTCTTTACCACCGCCTCCACTGCCACCGGAACTGCTCGAGAATGTCTTATCACCACCGCTACCACCACTGCCTACACCGGTACCACCGCCCGAACCACCTCTTAATTGGGAGGCATCACCACCTCCAGGAGGGCCGACCACTATACGCATATCAACACAACTTATGTGTAAACCATTTCTGCTATCATTCAATGAACTCAACGATGGCTTCAAAAGCGATTTCTTCGGAGACATCGGGAAAACTGTGCAAACAATGCAAATATCAATCAATCACGTGTTCACCACTCTATCATCATTTGTCTGTATGTCTGTCTCATGTGATCATACGTTATGATCAACACTATAGTGCATTCAACTCTTCATATTTGGGATCAAATAGCAATCAAAGAGTGTGCGATACTAACCATTGGAGCTGAGGACAGGTCGAGACACTCGAGTCGATATATATTTGAAATCTTGAAATCGGGTCCGAAATGCAGACATTTTTGCCATAAAATTCATGAAAACTAAGAAAAACTGTTCAAATGAAGAGTGAATGAGGGATCAAATGAATTAGTATTTGGTATATAATTGAGTGCTATTTCTATGGTATTCACAACAATCTATAACTCAATTGAACAGTCATTTAATAACTATTTAAATGCATTTCATATTTAAATATCGCATTAAATATTTAAATCTCAATTGAAATCACTTTGAAAACAATGCAAACCTTTAGATGAAAACAATTGATAAATAATTGTATATTTGTGTTAAAGTATTGATGAAATGAATGGATTCATAATTGCATTCATTATAGAGATATATATTAAGGAGTAAATTAAATTTATATAAACTCTTAAATCAATTAAAACAACGATTTATCACAAAAAATACCACAAATTGAATGACAAATCAATCGAAAGTCTATTCACTGAAACAAAACGTATGTATTATTACCTCATTTACAGTCTAACCTCTCTCTACACTACAACCACTTCATAACATATGAATGCAATTCATACTGTAAAATGTATTCCCATTTTTATAAAGTATATACAGTATATGTCAATGCTATCATATAATTACTATAACTCTCATTATTATTACTGTCCATATAATTCATGCAAGTCTTATTGTATTTAAATAACAATTTATGATAATTCTTAAATTAAAAATGTGCATGACACTTGTAAATGTTTGCTAAAGTTTATAGACTCGAGTTTATAGTGTAATATTTGCATGCATTTCAATGGATTACTCTTAAGTTGAATCAATCATTTTTTGATCACTAATTTGAATTAAACTTTTTATAATGAAATTAAATGAAATCAATCTCGAATAAAGTTTTCTCTAATACCTTGCTCAACTTCCACATAAACTTAAATTATGACCAAGAACATATGCGGTTCATGACTGCGTAGAACATGTAAAAGTAGTAAATGTAGCATGGTGAGAGCATATTGATGAGACTGGATTAGAATCATACAATTTATAATGCATTTGAGAATGAGTTCCAATTGATGGTCACTCGAGTGGATGTGATTAGCAAACTGTAATCATTAGAGCGAATGGACTGTACTGTGAATGCATCACAAGACTAAATAACGTCTCTCACAATACAATCATTCAAAACGTGTTCTCATTTGTAATGAAAATGAGATC